CCCCCCCCAGCCCAATAACCCCCCAGAAGAACTTGTAAGGAAGCTGTAGGGCACACATCAGCAGCATTAAGGTGTAAAAATCTTTCCCACCCATATTTTCCCAAGTTACAAAGCATTTTGCTACCTAAAGGACATTAAGTAAGGGTTACACCTACTTTGGGATACCAGTGCCTGCAAACCCTGCACCTTTATCAGAAGCAATACTTTCTATGTTTCCCCTATTACAGCTAAGCACATTGTCAGTATGGCTGCTAGGAACCTAATCTTTTATACTGAATGGGGCTGGTTGATCCATATGCCCCCTCATTGGCCATTCAAAGCTATCTTACCAAAGTTCAATGGCCATGAAGTTCATTGTTGGTAGTTGGTTGCTAAGGCGGTGAAATTTTCCTTAGTTTGCCAGATCTGCAAACAATCTGGGTTCACCTCAGACCCATGCTTGATCTGAACCCGAATCTCATTCCTATTTTACAACACCCTATCATGATTGCGCAATCTCTCCAGCTGAGTCATAACATCAGATAGCCATAAAAGGAAGAGAAGATCTGATAAGGTTCTTGGCACATTTCCAGTCAGTGTGATCATAAAAATAAGATCCTTGTAAGAGAAATGACAGCGTTGTGTCGGTCGGTTGTAGATTCTCAGAATAACTTGTCCAAAAATCAAGGCAACTGAACCCGTGGTATTTTTCCTGAAGGCGTTTGGCTGTTCATTTCACTAGGTTTCTTAAATATGAATTGAGAAAACTAGTCGGATGACCAGCGAAATGTCTTCAAGAAAAATACAGTGGGTCCATTTGTCTTGATTTATTTTTTACAGCTTGATGTATCACAGTTGCTCAGATTTCTAATTGAATCTACTCTCCATAGACCAGACACATCTACATAAAAATAGTCAATACAATCAAAAACTGAATAGGCGATTCTCCTGGTTCTGAATAGGCGATTCTCCTGGTTCTGACATTGCTACAGCAGTTCTGAGAAGCTGCACTAAAGAATCATCACTATAAACATGCTGGGAGGACATTTAGCATTCATTGCTTACTGGCCCCAGTACATTG